AGGCATCCAAAACAAATGCCCAAGCCACCTCAGCTGGCTCCTCTCGATGTGGAGGAGCAGCAGTTATACTCTGAGCTCCTTCCGGGTGACCGAGCTCCTCACCCTATCTCTAAGGGTGCGCCCGGCCGCCCTGCGGAGGAAGCTCATTTCGGCCGCCTGTATCCGGGATCTTGGCCTTTCGGTCATGACCCAAAGCTCATGGCCATAGGTCAGAGTCGGAACGTAGATTGACCAGTAAAATGAGAGCTTCGCCTTACAGCTCAGCTCCTTCTTCACCACGACAAACCGGACAACAGGGTCTGGGAAATCCCAAAATAAAGGGAGTTGCAGTAGTCGAGCCTTGAGGTAATAAAAACATGAATAGCTTTTTAAAACTTGTCAAATGAAAGAAAACACTTATACTTAAAAAAAAACGTATTTTAGTTACTGCCTTGATCTGTTTGTCAAGTTTAAAAGAATTGTCAAAAATCACTGCTACATTCTTTACAAAAGGCTTTAAATAAGGAGTCAGATATGGGCCAGCTAGGTCAGGACTACTTTGGCTGAGACCAGAGAATAAAATGCATTGTTTTACTCCCATTAATACAGTGCCTTGCGAAAGTATTCGGCCCCCTTGAACTTTGCGACCTTTTGCCACATTTCAGGCTTCAAACATAAAGATATAAAACTGTAATTTTTTGTGAAGAATCAACAACAAGTGGGACACAATCATGAAGTGGAACGAAATTTATTGGATATTTCAAACTTTTCTAACAAATAAAAAACTGAAAAATTGGGCGTGCAAAATTATTCAGCCCCTTTACTTTCAGTGCAGCAAACTCTCTCCAGAAGTTCAGTGAGGATCTCTGAATGATCCAATGTTGACCTAAATGACTAATGATGATAAATAGAATCCACCTGTGTGTAATCAAGTCTCCGTATAAATGCACCTGCACTGTGATAGTCTCAGAGGTCTGTTTAAAGCGCAGAGAGCATCATGAAGAACAAGGAACACACCAGGCAGGTCCGAGATACTGTTGTGGAGAAGTTTAAAGCCGGATTTGGATACAAAAAGATTTCCCAAGCTTTAAACATCCCAAGGAGCACTGTGCAAGCGATAATATTGAAATGGAAGGAGTATCAGACCACTGCAAATCTACCAAGACCTGGCCGTCCCTCTAAACTTTCAGCTCATACAAGGAGAAGACTGATCAGAGATGCAGCCAAGAGGCCCATGATCACTCTGGATGAACTGCAGAGATCTACAGCTGAGGTGGGAGACTCTGTCCATAGGACAACAATCAGTCGTATACTGCACAAATCTGGCCTTTATGGAAGAGTGGCAAGAAGAAAGCCATTTCTTAAAGATATCCATAAAAAGTGTCGTTTAAAGTTTGCCACAAGCCACCTGGGAGACACACCAAACATGTGGAAGAAGGTGCTCTGGTCAGATGAAACCAAAATCGAACTTTTTGGCAACAATGCAAAACGTTATGTTTGGCGTAAAAGAAACACAGCTGATCACCCTGAACACACCATCCCCACTGTCAAACATGGTGGTGGCAGCATCCTGGTTTGGGCCTGCTTTTCTTCAGCAGGGGCAGGGAAGATGGTTAAAATTGATGGGAAGATGGATGGAGCCAAATACAGGACCATTCTGGAAGGAAACCTGATGGAGTCTGCAACAGACCTGAGACTGGGACGGAGATTTGTCTTCCAACAAGACAATGATCCAAAACATAAAGCCAAATCTACAATGGAATGGTTCACAAATAAACATATCCAGGTGTTAGAATGGCCAAGTCAAAGTCCAGACCTGAATCCAATCGAGAATCTGTGGAAAGAACTGAAAACTGCTGTTCACAAACGCTCTCTATCCAACCTCACTGAGCTCGAGCTGTTTTGCAAGGCGGAATGGGCAAAAATTTCAGTCTCTTGATGTGCAAAACTGATAGAGACATACCCCAAGTGACTTACAGCTGTAATCGCAGCAAAAGGTGGCGCTACAAAGTATTAACTTAAGGGGGCTGAATAATTTTGCACGCCCAATTTTTCAGTTTTTTATTTGTTAAAAACGTTTGAAATATCCAATAAATTTCGTTCCACTTCATGATTGTGTCCCACTTGTTGTTGATTCTTCCCAAAAAATTACAGTTTTATATCTTTATGTTTGAAGCCTGAAATGTGGCAAAAGGTCGCAAAGTTCAAGGGGGCCGAATACTTTCGCAAGGCACTGTATTTAGAAAACTTTGAGACAGCCGTTTTTTTTATATAATGTAGACGGGCAGAGAGGACCTGATCTGACTTCAGATTTCTCCCTTTATCAAGAGATAAAACTGAATATCATCCACATAAAAGTGAAAGATCATACTTCATAATAATTGATTCCAAAGGAAATAAGGGAAACAGAATGCGTGTTTCCAATTGTAACATCTGTATGACCAGCTTCTCCCTGTCTCTTCATGTTCCAGTTTGAGAACAACACAGTGAACATTTGTATGAAGATACTGGACCTCAACCACAAACACCTGAAAGATCCAGCTGACGATGTCTCTGCTCGTTGTAACCCCATCTACGTCAGCCGCGTGATCAGCGCCATGGTGGGACCTGTGTGCATTTTCTTCACTGACATTTTAGGATTTACTGTTATGCTCTTTGAACCAAATCCAGCAGAGATATGATGAACTATAATAAGCTAAGAGACCATTCTCTCACAGAATGAAAAAAAGTCATTTTCCTGTGTGTTTTTCCCAGATTAACTGTGAAGATGACAATGGTGTTTTGGAGGGAAACTGGGGAAATTCATTCTGGGGCGGGGTCACACCATCTCAATGGAACGGCAGCTACGCCATCCTGAAGCAGTGGTTCGACATTGGCTGCCACCCGGTCAAGTTTGGACAGTGCTGGGTGTTTGCTGGTGTGATGTGTTCAGGTAGCGTCTTACTCTTCGGGTCCTCACACCTGGAACACCATCTAAAACAATAGATATTAGTTGAACCAACTGATACTCAAGAGTGAATGGCAAACACTGGCCGATCATCAAACTTTTTTTGGGAATATCATTGGGGTTTAGATTATTGTTTTGATAAAACCTATAATTTGAAGATGTCACTGTGGGATCTGGAACACTGCCGTTTTATTTCCTAACATTTTATCAACTAAACAAACAATCACTCCATGTAAAAAAATCCAACAATTTAACTTGTAATAAAAGGTTCCAGTAAAAATATACTGTTTTTTGCTTGTTTCTGTCAGTTTCTTACAAATTTAATTAGATTTGTTGAAAATAAATATTTTTGTAGGTGACAAAAATGGGTAAAAATAATGCTAATATGCTAAATAGATTCCCTTTAAGCTATAAATATTGTGTTACAAAAATTAGAAGACACACCATTTGACTCATCTTGTTGACACTGATCACATGACTTGGTTAAAGGATAGTTAGATATTCTAACTTGAGTCTTTTAATAACAACTACCTCTTGTCAGGCTCTGCCAGCACTATACTTTCCCTCTCTAAGCCAAAGCACAAAAAATATGTCTCATTGTTTTGTTCATTGTTGCACAAAATGAAAATATGACTTGATGCTCCGAGCATCACCTAAGGAAGCTGCAGAGTTGTGAGAAACCAACACACTGGGAAGGACTTGTTTTATTGGCATAAATCTTTGTGTTTGGTTCCAGTGATGCGTTTGCTGGGCATCCCCTGCCGGGTGGTGACCAACTTCCAGTCAGCCCACGACACCAACGGTAATCTAACTATCGATGTGTACCACTCAGACTATGGTGTCAGAGAGAAAGAATCCAGTGACAGTGTTTGGTGAGTCTTTTTTTATGTCTCTTTGTGGTCGCCTCGCATGTCTTTGGGCTCATTTTTTCTTTGTGTAGCCAATTTGTGTCTTTGTAGTCATTTTGCATCTCTCTGTGGTTGTTTTGTGTTAAAACATCAGTTAGCTGGTTAGCAGCCTGCAGCTTACAGAATCAGAAACTGTTCATGTTCATATTCTTCCAAAGTCTTAAAACTTAAAACAGAACATCATAACATATTATTGTTGAATTGAATTACTGATGTTTAGCTGCTGTTTTTAAACAAGACTGTTCCAGAATGTTACTCTCTCATCCTTCTAAATTGCAGTGCCATGCTTCAGTCTACTGACCTGCTCCAGAATATGAATCTTGTGTTTTAGGAACTTCCATGTGTGGGTGGAGGGGTGGATGAAGCGGCCAGACCTGACAAAAGATGGCAAATATGATGGCTGGCAGGTGCTGGATCCAACTCCGCAGGAGAAGAGCGATGGTACAGACCGTCTTGTTTATTCCCTGCTCTGATGGACTTGTTTCTTATCCTAATCCCACATTGTGGCCTCTTTGTCTACTCTGACCTACTTTTTGTTTCTCATTAAATCTAATGCCAGGTCTGTGTGCAGCCTCTGCTCCGACCCTGTACCATGGTGGAAAGTAACTATGTTACTATGTAGTGTTGTACTTAAATAAAATTTTGAGTTATCTGTACTTGAGTATTTTCATTTTCTGTTACGTCATACTTTGACTTCACTACATTTTAGAGGCAGATATTATACTTTTTACTCCACTACATTTATTATATAACTTTAGTTACTAGTTACATTTCCTAACCAGATTAATACAAAAATGCAGGATATTTATCAGCAGACCTCATTGATCTATGGTGGAAAATTCACAAGCTACCCAGCAGTAATTCAAATGAATTACATGCAAGCTAGTCAAAACTAGCTCCCCCTTTACCAACTGCAACATTAAATATGATGTACACGATAATGCAAGTATTTATAATACAGTAATATGATGCACAAGAATGTGAAATGTGTCATTCTGCACAATAAATACTTTTACTTTTAGAAGCAGGCCTTTCACTTGTAACAGAGTAGATTTACACTGGTACTGCTACTTTTACTTAAGTAAAGGATCTGGGTGCTTCTTGAGGAGGAAGGGCTGTAATGTTTAGCAGTCACCAGGTGGCAATGTTGGATTACTGTACTTACTGTACAGTATATCCAACCCATGGTGAAATAGCAAATAAGAAGTGCACACAATGCATGTTCAGTAGGATTGATGTAATAGATGATAGATCATTTGTTTTAAAGGTTTTTGCTTGATGTATTTCTCTATTTTAGTGGAGTTCTGATTGAACTGTTGAGCTCTCATTGTTTTGGTGGAGTCTTTGGAGTGTTTCATGCATGTATCTCTGAAAACAAAAACTGGCTGCAGGTCATGCATGTAAAGTGCCAGTGATATGCCAAGTGACAGGCGGGCACTGCAGACTGCTGGACTGATTAATATAGCAGCTTACTGGTTGCATGACACATCTCAAAAATGCAACTGAGTCGCTCAAATACAGGACTGTAGCTCTAAATATGGATTGGAATTGGATCAGCTGATACTGATCCTGTGAAATATGTCCAGATTGGGGCTGACATGATACTTAGTATCGGATCAGATGCCTCCAACAAAAATATGTACTGTGAAAGCAAAATATCCAACAAATGTGTACCAGCAAATATTTTACACTTGACTACAATGATTATTCAGTTATCAAAGTAGATCCCGACTGACTTTCTGTCAGTCAGCAAATTGATGGATCAGTTATTCCAGTTTGACACCTGCACCAGCTCTGCCCCTTGAATTCTTATTCTGTAGTGCTTTTGTTGTGAAAGCCCGATTAATGTTACTGTGATGGTGCAGGCAGAAATTTTTGTAAGGAATGAAAATTAAACAATCCCAATTTCATCAGTGTTTTGTTGTACTATTTCATGTCTGTGTGATGATCTTTATTGTTTATCCTCATGTAGGTGCTTACTGCTGCGGTCCAGCCCCAGTCAAAGCCATCCTGAATGGAGACACCAAAGTCAAATATGACGTCCCATTTGTCTTTGCTGAGGTCAATGCCGACCGTATTGACTGGCTGGTCAGTGAGCAGAGCTTGAGCCTGTAACATCAGCAACATATTTAATAAAAGAAAAACAAAAGCTTTTTTTATTTCCAAATTTGTTCTGCTTGTCCTGTCAGATAAAAGCCGACGGTTCAAAAGTGAATATCTTCATTGACGCTGTGAGTGTCGGTCAGAATATATCCACCAAGTCTGTGGGCTCCAACAAGAGGATGAACATCACCGACACCTACAAATACAGGGAGGGTGGGTTTGCCCAGTAAACTACAGCTGCTTATATGCTGTACCGCAGTGGCTCTGGAGACTGACTGATTTACTACTCTTACAGGATCAGAGGAGGAGAGGGCTGCCTTTAAACGTGCTGTCGACAACATCCCCTCCACAGCTGAGGAGAATGAGGAGAAACCAGAGAATGGAGAGAGGGAGGACAAAGTGATAATGCGATATGAAGAGGTACAACAGAGTCCCCAGAAGAAAAAAGTCTGCCTAAAAATTCAGCACCCAAATCTTCTAAGCTGCAGATTTTCATATATGAAAGAAAAATCCCCAAATCTTCAAAAATGAACCAACAGTTTTGCCTCTCTATGATTCAAGTTCTCTAATCACACAAATCAAGATAATTTGTTTAGAAATAACCTCAAATACATTTCATTGCAAAAATACTCATTCTGTTATCTAGAAACAAAGACCAGGCACAATATTTATAACATACAGACATGACTTCAATAATATCTCATTCTTCTCCTCGTGTGGTGCTGCAGGTGTCCAAACCGATGAATGGTCAGGATGTGAGCCTGAAGCTGGTGCTGCACACTGAGGGCAGCGATGCCAGGCTGCTGTCCATCAACATCAGCGTCCAGGCCATGATGTACAACGGCTCACCAGCTGTGACTATCCAGAATGAGGTGAAGGAGGAGGCTCTGCAGCCTGGGAAAGGTGACAGAGAGATATAAAAAGCAGCTCCTGTCAAACTGAGGTGTGAAGTCAAGATTTATGACATGATTTATGGCACATAATTACAGATTACAAAGGGTTTCACAGTTAGATGTTATTTTCACATTGACAGGATGTTATACACCATAATTTTTATGATGAATTGTTCACCCACAAAAGTTTCAGCATTTCTCATGAGACCTAGAGCCTCATTCAATCTGTGATGTTCTCCTGACATTTGAGATCTGACAGCATTATTCCAAATGCTCTAAACTTGCTGTTCAAGCATTTGAATACACACAGATTTACCAACGGTGGTTACACAGTTGCCCTTTTTTCCTCTCAGTGAGTTTTAGTCTCAGAGAACTTTATGTAGAGATTCTCTCAAGACCTTGTACGTCGTGTCTTCCAGGTGATTCAGACTGACGTAAATGTGCTCAGTCTTCAGCATAAAAATGTATCTGCATGGCTCCACGCACACAGTTAGGAAGTGGTTCAAAACCTTCCTCTCTCAGAATTTCCAAAACCGTAGGTATAAACACTGAGATCCATAGTCTTTGTACAAGGACTTCAAAGCAGACATTAAAATGCCATTTAGGGAGGGGATCTGAACAGCTGTCTGTAGACAACTCAGCATCAGTAGCATATCCTCTGCATAATAATTGTACATGAGCAATGATTACAAAATTACATATCTCCACCAAAGTCAGTTTAATAATTTGAAGCACATCGGGCTGGGATAAACCTTCCACCTCATCGCTGCACTCTATCAGAGCAGCAGAGCCGGGGGCAAACACCCTTGTCGGGACAAAGTCGGGCAGGGTGTAGATGTTAGCCTTACTCCACCTTTTCTCTTGGTGCAGGACTGGCCAGCATAGCGTTAGGGGTGTCTGGGGATGGAGGGTAGTAAGCCAACGTCACTTCAGTGGTCTGTGGGCCATATGCAGGCAAAGTTAACTCTTCCTTGGTGTCCGCTAACAGCGACTCTCCAAATCCACAGACCAAGTCATATCCTGACCTCCAACGTCAGGTGAAGACTGCAGCACTCTAAACAACACTGCTGCGCTACATGTTTACTATAGGGCTTTACTATAGGACCCACATGGGATTAGGTTAAACACCTACGTCACGTAATTTCCCCTTTGATGTTGTTGTAACACCATAAATTATGGTGGCTAGCTTTCTGTCAGAGTGAAAGTAGCAGCCAAGTGTGAAAAGGAAGGCGGATGTAGTAAAATAACAAACCTCTGGAAAAGAGGATGTGTGGGCTGTGGGGTGGAGGCAAGGTGTGACGTTATCATTGGTCATAAATCTTTGACTTCACACCCTCGTTTGACAGGAGGTGCCCTCTTATACTCACTGGTGACTCTTCTTCTTTGGTTGCTACTGTATTTTGGAAGCAGAAATCAGAGATAGAAAAGCTACCTGCATGGTGAAGTACCATCTGGATGAAGCGGCCTTAAACCTCCCTCTTTTGCTCTGTCTCTTGCAGATCTGTCCGTCCCTATCCTGGTCCCTTTCTCAACCTATTGGAAGCACATGTTGCAGTGTAACAGCATGAAGATTTCAGCCTTGGTCACAGACAAACTCAGGCCTGAGTGCACATACCTGGCTGTGGATGATGTTGTACTGATGAACCCTCCCATCTCCGTGACTGTCAGTACAAAACCCCGTCTACCTGTTCACCTCTCTTATAGCATGTTAGCATACTAATATTTGCGTGTTTCTGTTTGTTGACTGAGTATATCTGAATAATCAGTTAAATGTGTGTGTTTCAGGTTTCTGGTCAGACCAGATTGAATCGTGAGGCAAGTGGGGAAGTGGTTTTCATGAACCCAGTCAACGAGACACTGAAGGACTGCAACCTGACTGTCACTGGAAGTGGACTACTAGATGAAGAGATTAATGAAAAGTGAGTGAGTGTGTGTGTGTCTAACATAATTGCGAGTAACATGTTTCACATTACAGCTTCTTCAGGCTTGTTCATCTCGTCATCTGTGACAGGTTTGTGTTTTTCAAGGTTCTCATGACTCAGTGGCCATTGGTCAGTATCGATCACATGACATACATCAATCATTTCAAATCCACAACATACAAGATAATACAAAAATTCATAACAATCAACATTATACAAAAGAAGACATTCACATTTTGTGTTACTCAGTGGAAAACCAACATTATTGATGTTGAGTGTTATTATGACATTTTGTATTATCTGGTGTAAGTATACGTATTCTTTGTCATGTCTGAAATTATGACTTAGAAAGTGGCTGAATAAGCAGTTAAGATTATGAATCTTATAAGACATTTATTGTCACCTTTCAGTACTTCACAGTTTGCAGTACTCATTGCTATGGATACATTTTAATCAGTAAGCAAGTTGTGGCTTGATACCCATGTGGTTGGAATAACAGGAGGCTTTACTGCAAATAAACATCACTCTTGATGTAGTAAATGTAGAGTTTTACCAACTACTACTGTGTTCCCTGCAGTCTTCCAGACCTGCGGCCAAACAACCGAGTACGTATCAAGTTCTTCTTTGTTCCGTACAAGAGCGGAGAGAAGATTCTCATGGCCAACTTCACCTGCTCTGTCTTCAGAGACGTCAAGGGCAGCTGCACCATCACTGTCAGAGAGTAGATTCTCAGTGTTGCTGAGTAACCATCATGCTCTTTTACTCACAAACAACATATCAGAGATGTTTGTTTTTTTCATGTGAAGAAATCCTTGATGGTTTAAGAAATCACTCTTTACAGGATTATACTTGTACAGCGCTTTTCTATGCATTGCAGCACACTCAGAGCTCTTTCACACTATTTGGCCATTCACCCATTCGCACTCACACATTCACACACCGGTGTCATCACCATGAGCAACTGGTGGTTCAGTGTCTTGCTCAAGGACACTTCGACATGCGGACTGGACAAGCCGGGAATCGAACTGCTAATCTTCCAGTTAGGAGACGACTATAGGTCACGTGGTTGCTCAGTCTTGCTCCTAGACGTGTAGGAGAGGTAGGGGCCTTTTATATGTCTGAGCCCAGCAGCCCACTGTCTCATAATCCATCCATGATTGCAACAGTTGTTTCACTTGCCAGAATTCATTAATCTGACTGTACAGATTTAAGCTGTGAGGCTTAAGTAAAAGCTTTTGTTTGCCCGCCTCCAGTACACGGGCTACTTTTCCTTGGCCCACCCTGTAGAAGTGACCATCTCAGACCCATATGACCCTGTATATTTTGGATTTTACTGCTGACTTTTAAAGCTCTTCATTGCTCCTCTCCAGACTACATGTCTGAGCTCTTTTATAAGTGTGCCTGCATGTAAGCTGAGATGAATGAATGTCACTTTCGGCTTTTTCCCGTGACGTTGCGAATTGTCAGTGTGACAATTCACATGCTGACATTTGGCACATGTTTTACGCCGGATGCCCTTCCTGATGCAACCCTGACTTGAACCCGGGCCGTGAGAGCGCCGCACCCTAACCACTAGTCTATCAGGGATGTATGAAACCTGAGATGCTAGACTGAAAACTAGAGGTGATAGTTATGCACAGTTAGAGCCCCAAAGCTTTGGAGCAAACTGCCCGAGGAAATTGGGTCAGCAGAGTCAATAACCTCTTATAAGTCTCTTCCTAAAACACGAGCTTTTCCTGATTCCACTTCATTTTGTTCATCAGTTTTCACTTCTTTTAAATGTAGCTTCCTTGTATACATAGTTTTCTTTTTTGCTGCCTTTATATAAGGATTTTTCATAGTGATTTTTCTTCACTTTGTAACGCAAGTTTAGAAAATCCCACTGTGCACCAGTCAATCCATGTTCTTAACAAAAACACCTGACTACAATCTTCAAATAGTCACATTTAGAAAGTGAAAAACTGATAAGTCTTTACTCTCATGGAAAAGTCCTTCATTTTATATCTGTACTTCCACATAGTGCTCATGAGTAACAAGTAGAATTTCCTGTTTTTCATAAATTCAGCTGGTATTAAAGTGCTTCCTTGTGGATAAAAAATAAAAGACCACATGGTGTGTTAGTTTGGTTGTATGTTATTAACTTATATTTACACCGTTTGATGGTATTAATACACCTGTAGGCCAAATGGCCAAATAAAATGTTTACTGAATGTCTTGTGCCCTTTGTGTCTCTACTTGTACAGATCACGATAATCATTACAGGGCATGTGTTTCAAAGGCGTCCTGACAAAGGAATAAGAAAAACAAATAATTTCTGTAGCACAAAATTAGATCCGTTTTTTACCGACTTTTCTTTTGTAAAATATTAGATACTTTTACTTCTGCAGGCCTCTTAAATATCTTAAAGACAGGAGCTACAGTGTCAGGTCATTAATAGTTGCCACAAATTTAAAGGGAACAAACATGCAGAACAAAAATCAATCAAAGGCACCATATATGTACAGTACATCACATCTGAAAGAACCGGCAACAACGCGAGATTTGCTTCTAGACACACTTGCTTTCCATTGACTAAAATAGAAACTGCTGTTTGCTGTCTAATGCTGCGTTCACGGATGTGGAGAAGGTGGTAGAAACACGTTTTCACAGTCAGCCCCTAACTAAACAAACTACTACAGTCCTCATCTCTTGTTCAGGTGGTGAACACAGTTTGATTGTAACACTACCAGTAAGGATTACCTTTAGTTCATGGTGAAGTCATGCAAAACAAAGTATGTTTTATAATATTTTTGACAATTTATGATCAGAACGGGTGGAGGGTTTAGTAAACAGGGAAACGACACTCCTTGATATTATTTTTACTTGATTTATTCGAATTTGTGCTAAATAGTAGTTAATGCCGCTTTAAAGTTTTCAAACAACTATTAGCTCTTGTTAATATTGGTGGAGTATGTACTTTACTACGTTTTGGTTTGTTCATACTGTACTGACTTACTTGTATTTTACATAGATATTTCCATTTTATGTTACTATCTGCTCCACATTTCACTGGAATGCCAGTCTGGGTACTTCTTTCAACGCTGCATGCATTTCGAGCCCTCACAATTACTGAATCCTACACTTTTCAAGAAAAACGAACGCAGCCTGAAAACGAAGCGAAACCGAACCGCTCCGACTTAGAAGTTACTAGAGCTAACCGGCAAGTTCCCGTAATATAGACCTTCCGCACAGGCAGAGGAAATCCGCGTGGGTCTGAATGCTCAGGAGATAATCAGTACACAGAGTAATGCCAGTATTTACAACGTACACAAAGGGTAGGGATAGTTTTAGCAGACGATTTGTGTTGTGAAGAAGACAAGGACTTCCTCGTTGTGTTGTTGTTTCTAACGTTACCTCTCAAACCGAGCAGCCGGTAAGGCGTGTTCTTCTTAGCATTAGCGTTGCTAGCAGTGCTGCCAAGTTAGCGTTAGCTAACTAAGCTAGTAACTGATAAGAGTGAAAGTGACGCTAGTTAAAGCAATGATATAAGACTTAGCCCAGAATTGCCTATTTTATAACGTAAACGTTTGTTGTTAGTTTCGACAAACTGCCAAAAGATGATCTGCTAGTAGCTAACTTAGGCAGCCTACCAGACTAGTATAGTACAAGCTAGTTGGCCTCTAATTTGGGTTAACTAGTATGTGGAGAACGTTATATAACCAAGTTAATGTTTTTAAGAGAAATGCAGCTAAATGATGCGGTTAGACGTCATTGGCAACATTAAATGTCATTTATATTGATAGTTATGAGTTTATGAGCTAAATAAGATAAAGCTAAAATAAGATTCAATTCAATTAAATTGTATTCTATATGTATAGCGTCAAATCACAGCAAAAATCAACTCAGGGCACTTTACATAAGATCTAGACATTGTTATTATAATCATTATTTAAAAAATCCCGCACATCCTCCTTGAGCAAGCACTTGCTGATAGTGGGGAGAAGTCCTGTCATATATTGTTGGTGCTGTATTAGAAATGTATTGATTAAACTTAGTGTTGTTGAAGAAACACCTTTATTGAATAGTTTGAGTCAAAACTGAACATAATCTTTAGCTACAGCTGCCTAATAAATCTGCATCACAGTGGATCCCAGGTGTGAAGGTATTGTTCTAAAAAACTCATGTATAAAATGCCCTGTGTTTGTGATCCTCAGCCAGACCTTCCTTTCTCTCTGCTGCTGGGTTAACAGGCATCTCAGAAAGTCAGTGACTTGCAGTTAATGACACGTAGGTGTGTGATCAGTGTGTGGCAGCACAAGAGCACACTTTGTATTTGTTGTCTTCTCAAATAATTGAGTTGTCTATAAAATTTTAGAAAATAGCGACATATGTCCTCAATTGTTTCCCACTGCCCAAGATGATGCTTTCAGATTGATTGTTGTTATTTATCCAACCAACACTCCAACCCCCCCCCCCCCCAAATTGTGTTCTTTCCAGCCTGGACAAAACACAGCATGTGAGAAGCTTTAACTAGCAAACGTTTGTTATATTTGCTTAGAAAAAGAACTAAACATAATGTGATTGATTTTAAAATCACGACTGGTGTTAGAACAGTAGCCAGCAGAGTTTGGGTATCTGAGCTAGTGTCAGGAGAGAGAGAGCCAAACTGGAGCGTCCTTAACACTCTGGCAGCTCGTGGGGCGTCACTGTGAGCCTGAGGAAATTTTTACCAGCACAGTTTTGGCCTTTGATTTTAAAAATGAATGAAAGTGAACAGGGGTTTTCAAATTCTTTTTTCTTTCAGTTGTTGTAGAGACAGCAGAACTTAGACAGTGCCAGAGTAAACATGGATGTATTTATTTCAAAGACGTACCTTACACACAACACCTCACTATTATATATGCACACTATATCCAGTCACATTATATGGAGGCAACAAGGCCTTCGTCATGGGCAGCGCAGATTGTAACCGGTGTTGTTTCATCTCCTCAGATAACAGCTAAAAAAAAAAAAAAGCAATGCCTCAGAAAAAGAGATCACGGTCCTGGATGGAGCTGAAACAAAGTGGAAATGAGTGCTTCATGAAGGGCCAGTATGGAGAGGCCACCAGTGTTTACAGCCAGGCCATCACCATGCTGGAGAAGTCCAGTAAGTATTACCTTAGTAGCGCCTCCCGGTCCATGTACAGCGCACTTTGAGAAATGATATGTAAATAACTCAGTGATGCCATTTGTAGAAGGAGGGTGTAGGTGTAAGGCCAGTGAAAACCAGCTTCACCGAGTTAGTAATGTGTGGATGCTAATTTGATATAAGAAATGTATTTAGCCGATGTTCAGATCCCATTCAGATATTTGTATTCCCAACCAAGTAAGTAATGTGAAATAAAAACATTCAAATATTATCACAGACTAAAGCACAAACTCCTGCACAGAGCTGTTATCTGTTGTGTTAAAGCATTTGTATTTCTTTAGTAGGTCAGAGGCTCAGTGTCTGTGATGGTCTGCAGCTTTAAAACTCTCTCTATTGACTTTTAGGAAAATAAACTCATTTGTTAGTTTATTAGGTATATCTAGCTAAAACTAATACAGGCTAATCCAGTTGTAGTGCACAGCCCTCCTTCAGAAGGCGATGATATTCAGTTGGTGTTGAAACTGTTTCAAGAGGTGTTGATTCAACTTCAGGGTCATTTTGGATGCTGTACTTTGTGCTGCTTCATTTATGTGTTAGCTAAACTAACTAGTATAAAAACTGAAGATGTGAGTTTCCTCCAAAGATGGTTTTTAAATGATTTTAAAGGTCGGTTCATCTTAAACCTCCTAAAAACACGTCTTGCTTCACTCCTGTGGTGTCAAGCTACAATAGCATATCTCTCCCAGTGAACCCACGCACCCCAACACTTTTGGATAGCAAATAAATGAAAAGCTATACTGAGCATCTTTGAGATGGTAATATGGACAGAGCACTGAACCTCAGTAGCTCTGTCTTCTGTTCTGCTGTCTGTCTGTCCACTCTGTTTGCTGCGCTGTACGCCTCGTCAGTCGACAGCTGAATGAGATTTTAGTGCATTACCAGTTTGGTGAAATGTTGGGCTTATAGACTTTCCCTCATTATGCTTCTTTCACTGTTTCGCTGTTTTACAGTGCCTTAGATTTTGAGATTTAGATTTTGTTACCTATGTATCTGCGTTGTATTTCACTTATTGTGTTGCATCCGTGTGGACGGCAAAGTAAGAATTTCATTGTACAGGGAAACACATTTCCTCACTGTGCATATGACAATAAACACTTGACCTGACCTCTGGTTTCCTGTTAAGATAAAAAGAACCCAGAGGACCTGGCCATTTTGTACTCAAACCGTGCAGCCAGCTACCTGAAGGACGGCAACTGTGGGGAGTGTGTGAAAGATTGCAATAAGTACGTGTTCATCTAGAGTTTATTGTATCCATCTGAATTTTTTTTAAACAATTGAACAGCGTTTTTGTTATTTGGAGTCTGATTCTATGCAGAGTTTTGATCTTGATTCAACCTTGACTTTGTAATCTGCATGTTCTGTCTCAGGGCTCTGGAGTTACATCCGTTCAACGTGAAGTCTCTGCTTCGTCGTGGTGCTGCCTTTGAAGCTCTGGAGCGATACAGGCAGGCTTATGTCGACTACAAGACCGCTCTGCAGATCGACTGCAACATAGCAGCTGCTCAAGACGGCACCAACAGGTAGGTGGCTCGTTGGCTGGTCTGTCGGCAAGGCCCTGTCCATGTCAGACGTCAGAGGCAGACCCTGAGTTTTCAGGTTTATCAACCCTGTAGAGGGTTGTCAGGAAGACACTGTTTGTCTTACAAGCATGCTAACCACGTGTGTCAGGGTTTGGTCGAGTCAGAACCATGAACCCAAACTACAATCCTCAATCCTAATAAGCTCTGACTATAACTGTATGAAAATGACTCCACCACCAGATGCACCTTTCACCCGTTAGTTTTGTGCAGTACTGAAACTAGTTTTGAAGTAATGAAAGCACACAGGATGTCATGTCTCTCCAGTCAGCGTCCAGCGCACATAAAGCACTAAACAAGGTGTTTCTGGAAAGGAGAAAAGCCCTTTTAATAGTCCTTTCACTGTGTTTCTTAGGATGACAAAGGCACTAACAGAGGCAGACGGTCCCTCCTGGAGAGAAAAGCTTCCTCCTATCCCCACAGTTCCTCTGTCTGTCAGAGAGAAACTGACCCAGCAAACTACAACCAACACAGCAAAACAAAACCCTGCACCACAGCAGAACGGCACCAGGGAAACAAAAAAGCCTGGTAGGTTTGACTCCAATTAGTGCTGAGAGAGCTGGGTTTGTAATGTTTATTTAGCTAAAATGGCCTCATTTTTTAGAAGTGACATCTTTCTATACTGTGTGTATGTATTCTGTCTTTAACCCTGTTTAGAACTGGCATAAGCAGTTTTTGCATTCAAACCAGTCAACCTGAGAGTCTGATGTTTGCCTCGCTGCTGTAAACACATTCTCAGATTTCTCACAATGTTTATTTGCATAAACACAGTCGGTCAGGATCAGCTTCACAATTGTTAGGTATTTTTAGTCAGATAGATATTGGATAGATACTTTATGTATTAGAAATGTTTAGTGGAGATAGGATGTCTAGTTAGACTGTTAAATGCTTAGGCCTGCTTATGAGTTTCTACAGGGTACATCTGGTCAAGGATAACTAGAGAGAAGAGTTGATGACTGTCAGCAGACAGGATGTTTAATATTATTATTATGACGTGTATAACTGTAGCTTTAGCCATAATATGTTCTTATGTTTAAGTCACGACATGTTACTAGAGGTCGTGAGAATGTTTTTAGCTACACACCACTTAATCAACAGACACACACATTGATTTGCTTCATGTTTTGACTACTGCTATGACCAGCTGCAAAGCTGGTAACAGAGACGTCTCGGTTGACGTTTCTGTGTAGTATGGGGCTAGCCCAACCGAGGGGATATAATGTATAGGCCTGGTGGGTTCAGGGTCTTTCATCTTACATCTGCCTGCGAGCAGGTTGGAGGGGCAAGATACCTGAGCGTGTAATGTTAATTTTACCTGTGATCCTTTGAATAAATCAGCACTGTTTTGAAGTTACTTGGACTGTCTCGTCTCTCAGAGTTAGCATGGTAACAAGAACTGGACCCTACACAATTTTAAAGGGTAATTCAGATGTAAAATGTCCTCTTATCCTCATCACATCCTTCATGTCTCTCTGCCCCTCCTCTCCTCAGCTCCCAGTGATAAAGACATAAAGAAAGGCCAGGCTTTGAAAGAAGAAGGCAACGCTCTGGTGAAGAAAGGAGAGCATAAGAAGGCCATAGAGAAGTACAGCCAGAGCCTCAAACACAACCCCACCGAGGCCACAACCTATACCAACCGGTGGGTCACTGACATCACTCACATTTGCTTTCACAGCTGAAATTCTCTCAAGTAGTATTTAGACCATTGTGAGGCAAAAACTTTCTGTGGCCTAGTATAATAATTAAAATAAACATATTTAACATTTATTATACCTGTAATACTGACTTGAATTCAGGATTTTGTGGTTTATGTCTTTGTGGGTTCAAGAGGACAGTAAATGTCTATCCTAAGCTCTGTGTTTTGAATCTGTGTGGCCAGGGCGCTGTGCTACCTGTCAGTGAAGCAGTACCGAGATGCTGTCAGAGACTGCAGTGAGGCTTTGGTGATTGACAGCAGCAATGTGAAGGCTCTCTACAGGAGGGCTCAGGCTCACAAAGAGCTCAAGGTGAGAGCCAGAATCTTCAGCACTGATCAATCAGTGTCAGAAGTGTCTGTGGTGGTTCTCAGGTCGGGCGACAAAATAAAAGCATTTCCTGCCTTGGTAACTGTGGATGTTTCCCCTGGTGGCTGTTTAGTGGAGGAAGGGGCTGTGTCCGATGTTTCCCCTGGTGGCCTATGCTCCTCAGTATTCGACAAGCTTAGAGGACAGGGTGCGCTTGGCACACCCACCTCTGTGTTTGGAGATTTGAGTTGTGTGAAAAATGGCAAGAAAAGAGCCTCTGTACAATTGACAAACACAGATGGCTGAGCACTGCCATGTTTTTCAGCCCATTTTCACCTGGAATCTGATTTGAAATAATCCCTGTAACAAAATGTCACTGAATATACAAAGAAAAAGTTTGATTTACAGTCAAAACCTGAGTTAATCTTCTTTATCAGGGCTATATGGTCAAGGTTTGTTTTGCTGCATTTCAACTATTGGAACTGAACGAGCGGTATACCTGGTACTTCACCCCTCCCAGGTTGACACGGACCATCCTGCTTTGTGTTGGTCTCTGTTTAGTGGAGGAAGGGGCTGTGTCCCTCTTACACACACAGTCGGCCAGTAACAGAGGCTGTATGAGTAGTTTATCAAACAGCTAAACAAGCAGAAGACGCCTGTGCTCCTTTATGCACGGTTTACTCAGTGACATTCCAGTGTCACTGTCGTCCATCTAAATGCTCTGTCATTCTTGTAGGACGTTAAAGCCTGTGTGAACGACCTGAACAGCCTGCTCCAAGTGGAACCAAAGAACACAGCTGCCCTGAAGCTGCTGCAGGAGGTGCAGAAGTAAAGACACGTGGGACTCTGGAGACAGCGGTAAGGATCGGTCACTGGCCCGTGTACAGGAGCGAGAGCCGGGCCACAGAAAGCAGCTGAGCAGTGACGAGATTCAGACGCTTCAAGTCAAAGGCTGAGCCTGTGTTTCCCAGAAGCTCGACACTGAGCTTGTGTTTGATTCGTTTACTCCACTGGAACAAACGTGAGCTTGGTCTCGAGATGCTTCTGGAAAACACTGCTCTGGCTGGTGGGTGGAGCTGAGGGTGTGTCGGGACGAAGACGCGCCACCAGTTTCAGCCTTAGAATGTTTGTAATTTAGCAGTTTTACTTTCACTGTCACTGAGTATTTATGATTATTTTTAAGATTGAATTTATTGATATAATTGTAAGAGTAAACCTTTATCATCATCGTCATCATTCAGAAACTGAGTTCATCAGGTAATCAAGCAGCATGTGCAGCTCCTGCCCGTTGCCACAGCTTCAGTTTGAACATGAGCTTTTTCTGAGCTTTCAACCAGTTTTCTGACTTCATCACTAGATGGAACATTCACATTGAACACAAGACTATCTGTGAACAGGTGGCCATATATGACCACCTGTTACCACAAGTGACAATTCACACTTAAGCCACATGAGCCACTCCTGTCGTTGATCATCACTTTGTCCTAGATCCACAGTACGTATCTACTCTGTACAGAACATACAAATTAATTCTCAGTGTACTGTTTAGTGGTTGACAGTGTGATTATATTAACAGGAAGCGACACTTCTGACATCACTCAAACTGCAACTTTGCACGTCATTACCCATTTAAGATTTCATTATTCAGTATAGACAGATTACACTTCGTCTTGCCACTTGACCAGTGTGACTATACTACAAACTAAAACCTGCTTAGAGTCGGTATGTTTTTATGGATCTGGGACACAGCGCATGAGATGCTGTTGAATGCTCCACAAAGCTAGAACAGATGTGTCCACTTGACATGATCTCTGACACTCAGATCTGTTGGTGTTTGGACACAAACTGCAAGTGGCTGAGCTCTAGCTTAAACCATGGATCAGCTCCCTGCCCATAGTTCAGACAGACCGAGGCTGGGTTCCAGGGAGGAGGGAGCAATACGGCTAAAATAATTCAGCATGGCATATACAATTTTATGGTTATTTTGAGATCAGTATATACTGTGTTGGAGACATCTCTGGAGAATCTGTAGATATTGTCTCAGGGGATATTTACCACAGTGCAGTAAAATCTGACAGTATACACTGCTCACCCGCTTTATTAGGTACACCTGTAGCACTTCAATGCAACACCTCCACCTTAACATCTGTGTTTATGAAGCTCAAAATGTTTGGTTTTGGTGAAATTGTCATAAATGTTTTAATTCAATTCTATGTTTATTACTGAAGTCATAGTTAAAGGTGGTGTTGTACTGGACTACATTATATTCAGAGGTGTGTCTATATTTTTGTCCTCCCCACCAAAACACGAGAGGGTCAGACTATTAGGAAACACCTCTGAATTTAGTGTAGTCCAGTACAACACCACCTTTAACTATGACTTCAGTAATAAACATAGAATTGAATTAAAACATTTATGACAATTTCACCAAAACCAAACATTTTGAGCTTCATAAACACAGATGTTAAGGTGGAGGTGTTGCATTGAAGTGCAGACAATAAAGTGGCCAGTGAGCCCCTAATTAGGGCTGCAACTTAATTCATTAATTATTCTGGTCAGAAATTAGTAGAAAAATGCTTCTTTAAAAAAAATAATACATCAAGAACAATCACCAATATTGTGGAAACTCATGTCTTTAAACAGCTGATTTTGTCAAACAATCCAAATACAGGACATTACATTTAGAGTCACTGATGGGAGACATCACATCCTCACATTTGAGAAGCTTGAATTAGACAGTACTGGAAAGAATAGCTTGAAAAACAAATCACTTAACTGATCAAATAGTTGTCAGTTTTTGTAAATCAACTAATCAAACTGCATTTTTAACAGTAGAAGCTGCAAGACTTAAAGTTTTGTCCATATTGAAACCCACATCACTGGAGACTCGGGCAGCCTACCTGTCTGAACGTTGGTGATCATAAAGGTTTATTCTGTATTTGTTCTACAAGCAAACAGTTTTTCTGTGTTCTCAGGTAGTTTTTTTTTTATTATTATTGATCTACATTTGGTTTTCTGAAGCCCAGCTAGGTGTGAATGTTCCTCCCTCAGTGCATCGACATTTATCATGATGCTGTGTTCACGACATATGGGATGGATGCTCAAGATTCCCAAGTTTCTAACCAGCACCCTCGGTCATGTGGTGGTTACAAACCATGACTCTGCAATACTATAAACAGTAAGTTTGGCTTTAACTATCGTAAACGAAGGACTTTGACAGAAATGGGACCTCCCTGTTTCCCTGCCTCTTGGGGCATTTCTGGATTATTCTGGAATTTTCCAGACATAAGTGGGACTTGAATGAGAAATGTTTGTCAGACAGTCTAAATAGATTTAATTTGCATTTGATATTTGAATGATTGATAATGAATTTGATTCATATAAATTGAAATCCAATTCATGATCATCTATTTAGAGACAGTTTTCATCATGACTCCAGTGATACTACAGGTTCTATAGCCAACTCTTAATGCCTAGTTACTTTTCATCCACCCTGTAGTTAGAGGTACTGTGATATGACGCGGACACAGCATCCGTCTCAAAACTTCACCTGACAAACATGTTGGATACACTCCTGTTGTCCAGCTCCACTGAGATTTACTGTTTGTTCCCTTTCTGTTTTAAAGGCTAATATGCAAACAGAGTAATCCTATCTTTACACAGGTCTTCATTTAAAAGTACTGTTTCATTGTATTACTGTCAAACCTCTCTGATCCAGCTGGAGATTGGCCCAGAGTGCCTGTGCACATCTTTCATCTGCTGCTCTCAATCAGTTTCTAGTGTAAAACAAACAAAAGGTAATATGTCTGTCTTGTCTAGTGTAAAACAAACAAAAGGTAATAACTGCCCCACCAGCATGTGCATGTGTAACATGCACAGCTGTACAGTGCAACCACAGACTGAGACTCTTAGCTTCATCTTTCTTTTACCACATTTATGCTGTTTCTGTAATTTGCTATGTTCATTTTGTCAATCTGCTTCTGTTGGAACTGCAAATAAAGAATTGAATAGGTCTAGATCTAGGATGAAACGACTGACACCACTCTCTCTCTCTCTCTCTCATACTGTTAAATAGCTACAGCCAGCAGCTAGTTTGCTTAGCGAAACAACTGGAAACACTGGGAAACAGCTGGCTCCAGTCAGTCTACACCTCTGATTAATCTGCAAGCGTCTAAACAATTCACTGTTTTATGTTCCAGACTATTTCTTGGCTCCGAGCAGCTGCAAGATAAACAGCTGAGATGTTACTGTGACTAAAATAGTGCAGTACATTACCCCACGTTAAACCCTGTCATTTAGTCTATGAAAAAACAGTTAAACAAGACAATGTGTTCATCAGTGAGTTTCAGAGGCACTGCCTGGTGGATTGTTACTTCTGGTCAGCCAAACTAGCTGTTTCCCACTGTTGTGTGTTAAGCTAACCAGCTCCTTTTGACACTGGCTGCACAATGCATCCATCCTTCCATTACCTACACCACTTATTCCTGAATAGGGTTGCCAGGGGGGCTGGAGCCAATCCCAGCTGAGATGGGACAAGAGGCAGGGTCCACCCTGAACAGGCTGCCAGTCTATCACAGGTTAACGTGTAGACAAAACAACCACACTCACTCCTATGGGCAGTTTAGAGTCACCAGTCAACCGAAGCTGGAGAGAACCCACACAGGCACAGGGAGAACATGCAGACTCCACACAGAAAGACCCTGGGTCTGCTCAGGATCAAACCCAGAACCTTCTTGCTAACCACTGCACAACTGTGCCACCCGCTGTACAATGCAAATATCCCCAATTCAAAAAGGGCCACTAACACATTAACATAAGTGACATTTATGCAGCACAAACATCGTCCAAAGCGATCACACTTGAATCAACAGCTCTCCGTTTCAACAAAAACTGAACATTATCACCCACATGGAGGAGGATGCACAATATGTAGATGTTTCTACACAGGTTGCATCTACAGCGGTAACACAGACATTCCCCCACCGACTGTGCATGCCAGAAAGCAGTGAGAAGCACTGACTCACCATTCAGCCAACGTGAGAAGAATCAAGTGACAAGTTCAAACAGCCAAATCCACAAATACAGGAATCTCCAGGATCGAACACACTGTAAAGTGCTGTACAAAGCAAACATGACTAAAGACAAGGGGACATGTTCAACAGCTGCAAACTGGACTGACCAATGAGGAAGGTGTATGTATGGATCAAACCACATGTTTATATCCAAATATATGGTCTCAAACTGTAAACTGATTTACAGACAATTAGCAAAAGAAAATTAACGTGCATTTCTATTCTACTGCTGTGTGGATACTGTGGGTGCCACCAAGATAACTAGTGGCTTAATCCTCAAGTTGGAAGCCGTTGCTCCTTTGCAGAAACAAGATGATGGTCGAGCACCAGTCAAACCTCTAAACCACATGACCAACCTGAACTGAGCTTTTCATCTGCTGCCATTTTTGTTTCCAGTGGAAGCCTGGGTAATTAAAGTTCTGATTTATTCTCAGTCACATTTAGTTCTAATTTATACATCAACCTTTCCACCTTTGCCAAGCATCAAAACTGTTCATTCTTTATGCTGCAGTTAAATACAAGTGGAAAAGGACCACACTAATAAAAAGATGCTGTTGAAATTGGTACATACCAAAAATGACAAATCGTAGAATGAAAAATGAAAAACAGTTAAAACCTCGCCTCCTTTCCCACCGTGACACCTGGTTAATGTTGCATCACGTGCGCAGCCTTTGGTTTCACGTGGTCACAACTCCACTTTCATAGCTCAGGCTAGTTGACTCTTCTCTATAACTAAGCATAGGCGTCAACACGTCCCTTCACACGCTAAGGGTCACAGACAAGCCAACGTGCACACTTCCCAAATCTCAACTACATAACATGCAGAGTTTCGAGTTCTGCACGTTGATTGGTTGATCCAATTTCCTGTTGGGAAGAGCTTGTTTCTGCAAAGTTTTCCTCTCAGTTTCTGTTTTGTGGTCATTTCTTTGAGCAATGAAACTGTGACCGTCTCCAAACAAAAGACATCTACGTCCCCAGACGTATAAAACCGCCTTTGGATGCTGCTCTACCATCTGAGAAGCACTTTGGTTGGAGCTTTTAGACTCTGCCATCTGGGTCCATGCACTTCACTAACCAGCTATAGTCAGAATTACATCAGTTCTCTACCAATTAACACGCATCTCTCCTGTCAACGTACATGCACTATACTCGCTGAGGAGCAGGTTTGATTATTTTGATACCCATATGTCAATTCATTTCTATTACTGGAAAAAGCAGCACAAAAGTCAGGCAATGTCTGACAATGGTCATCAAGGACTCGTGTTAGCTGCTCCTGCTCAGTGGTAAATGGTCTTACACTTGTATAAGACACTTCGACATGTGGACTGGATAAGCCGGAAATCCAACTGCCCACCTTCCCCGTAGAAGACAACCCGCTCTATCTCCTGTGCCACAGCTGCCGTGCAATCGGTCCTTTTCCTTCTGTAAATAATCAAAAGAGAACATTTGCATACAACGTCTGAAACCTGAAGAACACAGCAGCCTTTTGTCCCACTGAACATTTGCATTTTTGTCTCTAGGCCCTGACTGGTTCACAGCAGTGGAAAACCCTGACAGTGTCCATGTACTCTGAATTTCAACCTGTCAAACCTAGAGCGTGCATGTACTAGAACCTGCTATTCCAGTGCATGGTTTTCTTTACTCTACATTGAAGCGCAGACACTTTGCATGCACGGCCAATCAGGAGCCTCGCTATGAAGTCCCCAAAATAAACAAATAAACCAACATGCAAGTAGTTGTAATAAACAGAATGGGGCCGATTCGGAACTGATAAAACCTTTATTTCACTTTAAATTGTCTTTTACATTTTGTCCTGTTTATAACACGTAAGGTAAAACTAGAGTTGGAATTGTTTTAAAAGACAGACACAAATCTAGTATTACGTCAGTAACCAGGGTGGGGGGGGAGGGAGGTGAGGAGGGGGGTCTCATGTTTTTGGTCTTTTTTTCAGTTTTATTGGTGTCCTTAAGCTAAGTCTAAACTGTCACAACCACGTGCACGCTAAACAATAAAACCGTCACAGAAGCAAATTTTTTTTGTTTTTTGTTTTTGTTTTGTTTTCCTTTTTATTTTAAGCAGAATACTGGTCAGTAAAAACAAAATGATTTTAGATACCAGATATACAGACAGGCTCGGTGCCACATTCACTACTGCATGGGATCATTTTTTCCTTATAAAGCGTTAGAATAACTGCCTTTGTGTTCAGCTAATGAGGGAAAAGGAGCAACAGGGAGGAACTTTTTTTTTTTTTTTTTTTTCACCTTGTCAACATAAACATTTGTTCCCAGCAAAAGAAAAAAAAACCAAACACTGACACACATGACTCTTCTACACCTACAGGGTGGAATGTCGAGATGCTTCAGGGCAAGGTTATTGTGACACTGAGTAGAGAAGAAATAACTGTCCTCAGCTATATTGGCTTACGAAGAAAATTTTTTTTCAGACTCACAGGTCTGCGTTCTACTCGGTGGAGATCCAATGTCTGCATGTTTGGGAGAAGAGCCCGGTCTGGTTTGGGATTTGCTTTGCTTTTTCAAGGTATCTTGTTTGCGGGGCACAGTCACTTAGACAAGAGAAACCACGCAGAGCCTGATTTTCACCAGTTCAAATGTACATGCTGTAAAAGATCAGATCTGAAACTGAGCCAGAAAATGTACCATTAACTGTGGATTGAGCGTTTGGGAAGATCACCCGACGGCTGCCTCGACACATACGCATGCTTACTAACTGAAGACAAAAACCCTGTGATCCAGACTAGTTTCTCACTTATACTAATAGATGAACAGCTGCCAAGAGATCTGGCTCTTTCAGTGGACGTACCACCTGTGCTTCCTTGTTTGTTTTTCCAATAACTTTGTGAAAAGGTTCTTTCTTGCAGTCATTTAAAAAAAAAAAAAACCTTGACAAAAAATGTTAACTCAAGGTTCACTTGCAGTTTTTAGCCTGTTTCCACTGTCAAAAATAAACATTTGCATTAGCTCTTGTCCTGATGGGCTCAGATGTAATGATCATGTCGCCGGATCAACACCTGGCCTACTACTTTTAATAATTGGTAAACAAGGCAGCAGCAGGTTTAAGTGACAATTCAGAGTACAATTCTGCACTGGATGCATGCAGCAGATTTACACGGTGATAAATGAAGGTGTGTGTTCTTGTTGGCAGATCACAGCACTCCGCAGACAGTGGAAATCTGGGACCTTTCTAGACTTGTCAGTACAAGTAGTGAAGAGGCAGAGGAGGGAGCGGGAGAGGAAAAGTACCAAAAAAACAAAAAGAACTGGTCAAAAATGTGACAAATGAAACAGCAGCCGACTGTAACGGCTTCTGTGCAACAGGTGTTAATCATCAACAAACCATTTTGTTTTCCAAAAGACAGATTTACAGTTACACGCCAAGTGTTTTACAATTTTACAGTTTCCCAAAAAAAGGAAAAAAAAAAAACTGAAAGTTTGATTTGTTACACACAAAATAAAAATAAAATGCAAAGGGAAGTGAACACGTGGTTTAAGGTATTTTGTGGTTTAAGTTATTTTGTTGTGGTAAATATCTAAAATGCTTTTGAACATTAAGATGGAATGTTTCTTTTTTCTAATCATATTCTTCCAAATCTGGTTTCTTTTAAGCTCCGAACTAGAAGTATGCAGAATGGAGTTAAACCAAACTCTGGGTCCTGGCCAGAAAGGAAAATTAGAACGGTGAGTGTTTGACTGCGCAGCAGGTAGATCTGTCAGTGTCACAATACAGCCTTGTAGGAGGACCCTTCTGTATAAACCTCAGCAGAATGGCACTATTGTTTGAAACACAGCTGAATACTGGTTCTGGTGGCAAAGTGGAGGAAAAACTAAACATCACAGTGTTTGTTGAAAATAAATGGACAGTTTAATAACCTTTTTTGTTTTGTTTAAAGTGGAATAAAACCAGCAATTTGCTAGTACACTAAGAAAAGCCAAAAGAGAAGGGATGGACAACTCACTAGAGAGAAAAGAGGGAGGAGAGAATGCACTGAGATGTTAAGCAAGGAGAAAGAGGTGCGGGGGGTGGGGGGTGGAAAGAATGGAGGAGAGAGATTAAACAAGGGGAAAAACGGGGTTGGCCTCTAAAACCAGGAATTTATCTTGAGGTTTAGGATAAAAACTCTGCGTGCTAGAGGACCAGACTGGCCAGCGGCTTCAGTCTGCCTTGGAGTGCCATGATCAAGAGGTGGAGGGCGGGAGGGACGGGGGGGACTGTGGGGTGATGGAGTAGGATCTCTTTTCCCTCTTCTGTTTTTTTTTTTGTTTTTTAAAGTTGTTGGTGAAGGTCTGGTACTATTCATGCTGCTGGTTATACAGAAGGGAAGTCGGGAGACTGGGCTTGAAAAACTGGAACAAGGGAATGAACGGGCTGTTTATGTGTACGAAGAGAGGAAGAAGAGAAGGAAGAGAAAGGCGGAGGAGGAGAGTGGGGATGGGCTGACAGTGAAGTGCGTTCTAGTTGTCCTCATTGCCGACTTCAGGCTCGTCTGTCGTTTCTGATGTCCACAGCTGCAGAAAGAGAGAAAGCACAGCTGTCACTTAGGAGGCAACAACTCAGGTGTACTACTACGAATACTTGGTACAGAACCAAAACACAAAGGGTCCGATTGGTTCCTTGCAGTTTGACATTTAACACAGGCCATGCTCAAC